GCTTTTGCTAATTTATGACTTGCAGGGATGGGTGGTTCGGAAGTTAGAAGAGTTTTGAGCAAGAATAAGTCTAGCTGCTTCTTTAAGTTTCTTTAAAAAGGCCAAGTTTGACTTCGGTCAACATTTTGGGAAAACGGACCCAGAATAGTGATTTGACAATTTCTGAGGGTCCGTGGGAAAATATGGGACCTGGGCGTATGCCCAGAATCGAATTCCGAGGTCCCTAGCCCGAGTAATGAATTTTTACGTGAAATTGTTAAGTTAAAGTTTCAAAGGTTTAAATAAACTAAGAAATCATTGTTTTCCTAGGTATCGTGTTCGGATCTCGATTCCGAAACTTAGTACAAGTCCGAAATATCAGTTAAGACTTACCCGTAAAATTTGGTGTCAATCCGAGTAGTTTAAGGGTGTTTTGACCCGTTGGAGGAGAATTAAGAACTTGAAGTTCAATGATTTGATTCATTTGGTTTTGGGGTTGATTCGTTGTTTTGAGTGTTTCGAGGGTTCGAGTAGGTCTGCCTCGTGATTTCAGACTTGTCGGTATGTTCGGGCGGGGCACGGGAGCCTCGAGCGTCAAACGAGCGAGGCTCGAGTGAAGTTAGAATTTGGAAAATGACTGAAGCTTGTTGCTTCTGTCATAACCGCATCTGCGGTTCTTGGACCGCAGAAGCGGGACCGCAGATGCAGTCAATAGTTCGCAGAAGCGGAGAAGGGGCAGGCCAGGGGAAACTGCAAAAGCAGCCCAGGGACCGCAGAAGCGATTCCGCTTATGCGGCCCCCAGACCGCAGAAGCGGTCGAGCCCCAAATCCCAAAAAGCCGCAGAAGCGGCCAAATTCCGCAGAAGCGGAAATACTTCCGCAGATGCGAAAATAACTGGGGGCAGAAGGGTTCATTAATACGAACCCAAACTCATTTCTTCCACATTACTCTCAACACTTACGGCGATTTTGGTGATTCCAAAGAGGAGGTTTCAACATAACATTGCAAGGTAAGTAATCCTCACTCATTTTTAGTTCAAATACATAAACATTAGGTGGATTTAACACTAAAAATTAGGTAAAATCAAGGGATTTGAGCTAGACCTGGGGTTTAATGAAAATTAAGATTCTATCACATAATTTGCCATGTAGTGAACTAGAAATCATATATTTGTGATCCTTAGGTGATAGAGAACAACTTCCTTCGAAAAATCTCGGAGTTCGGGCACGTGGGCCCGGGGTCGGAATTTAGGAAACTTGTGTAAATGGTTAGGAAATTGCTTAAATAGCTAGAATTCAACCTTGTAAGCCTTTATTTACTAGTTCTACTTCGTTTCATTAGTTTGGGATTGTCCGGCTTCGAATTAAGGACTTGGGCTCGTTCTTGGACATTGGAAGTGCACCTTGGAGCGAGGTGAGTCTCCTTTCTAACTTGTAAGAGGGAATTGTCCCCATAGGATTATAAATGAGTAATTATTGTTAAATGCGGGGGCTACGTACGTACTAGGTGACGAGAGTCCGTGCGTAGCTACTATAATGATAATTGTTCGGGTAGTTTAGGACCCACGTCATGTCTAATTGGGAAATATCTCTTATTTTAAATTGCCAATATGATCATTTTGATTTGCTAGAGACTTGAGGAAATGAGAGGTGGACGTATGAGTTTGTTGAGCCTTTGTAGGAATTTCCTTGTATGTAATTGAGTCTTATGTGTTTTCTTGATATTTTCTTGGTGATTATGGATGCCGATCGCCTCGGTGATAATAGATGCATCTATGGTTCGTGCCG